GTTAGGTTCATGTTACCCCCTGGTCTCTCCCTGTTGAAACAGTACAGACTCGCGCGTTGGCATGTGAAATCTAGCTTCGATCATCAGGAGCTTGCTCCAACTTAGGCAAGCGCCCACACCCTTGTGTTTAGAACCATGGTGACTGTTTGCTTCTTATCTGACAGGGAGCGCGTGATACCAATACTTATTTCGGTTGTCCCACGCAGTTGGTCTGTCATGACAAGCTTTCTTGATCGACTCTTATCATCACATGGTAGGACCAATAATCACTTATCTACACAAGAGTGCGGGCATCATGCCCACCGTATTAAAGGTGAGCAAGTTAATGCCAAAATCCACCAAGTGTTCCCTTCTCCCTTCTGTGACATTCACTTATATAGAATGCGCTTTACTCTCGCAACGTCCATTGTTGCACTGGCTATTTTGGCCGCTGCAGCACCTCGGCCCGCCGGGCAGAAGATTGGCATAGCCATTCCAATCACCAAACGTTCTAGCTTGGTGAACGATGACAAAAGCATCAACGCTGACGCACTCAAATCTCATGTTGCATCCATCAAGGCGTACGTCGCATGCACCGTTACATCGCTTTTACTCAAGCATCTTTTTTAGTAAGATCCGTCACGGTTTCACCAATTTTGAGCAGAACACTGGGACGAGGCACCCTTCCGCCGTGAAAGGGGACGGAAAACGCGGGGCTGGTGACGCCCTGACGGATGACAACAGTGAGCTCTGGTACGGTACCATTTCGGTTGGTACCCCTGCCGAATCCTTCACTGGTGGGGTTTCCTTGCACCCTGATGGATCTCTACCCTGACCTCATTCGCAGTTGATTTCGACACCGGCTCTAGGTAGGTGTCTATTATTAAGCAGGCGGAATTTTCTTGTTCAATTAGACGACAGCGACCTCTTCCTGCCAGGTTCTAGCTGTGATTCGACTTGCAGTGGTCACACACTCTGGGACCCCACTTCTTCTTCGACCTCGCAAGACGTGGGTCAGACATTCAACCTCCAGTATGGAGATGGATCTACTGTCTCGGGTGAACAATACACCGATACCGTATCCATTGCCGGTTTCGCCGTATGTTTTGTATAGCTTATCAACATGCTCATTTCTGACAGCCGGGTAGGCGACCACTCAGACTCTTGGCGCTGCAAACACATACTCTTCTGGTTTCGAAAGTTCTCAATTCCCTCCAGACGGTTTGATGGGAATGGCTTTCCAATCTATCTCGTCTTATGGCGCTAGCCCTGTCTTCCAGACCCTCGTCTCTGAGGGACAGGTGACGGATTCAGTGTTTTCATTCAAGCTCTCGTCTTCTGGAGCCGAGCTATATATCGGTGGATCGAACTCTGCGCTGTACACTGGCGATTTCACATATACCCCTGTAACGCAGCAGGTGAACTGAAGTTTCGATGTCCGTGGACTCTCACTAACATTGGTCATTCAGGGTTACTGGCAGGTGAACATGGACGGCGTTCAGAATAACGGTCAGACGATTCTGAGAAATGTTGATGCCATCATCGACACTGGTACCACCCTCATCGTTGGTACTCCCTCTCAAGTTTCGACCCTGTACAGTACCCTTGGTGGTAAGGCTGCACCGAGTAGCGTCGGCTCGGGTTTCTATACCTGTAAGTTCGGATCTGAGTGCGTAACGTGTGTGCTACATTGACAATCTGTAGTCGCATGTGATTCTTTCCCGAGCATTAACCTTAGCTTCGGCGGCACGTCGTTCCCGATCTCTGTCTCTGCTCTCAACCTTGGACCTGTTTCGTCCGGCTCGTCCGACTGTGTCAGTGGCCTTGTTGGGCAGGACGTGGGTAGTTGTGAGTTTTTCATCATTTCCTGCCATGCTGCATGCTGACCACCGCACTCCAGCGTTCTGGATTGTCGGAGATGTTTTCCTCCAGGGTGTCTACACCGCATTCGATGTCGGTAACACACGAGTCGGATTTGCAACGCTTGCTTGAGTGTCACGAGGCGTACGGAGTAGTACCCACTGTCATGTCCAATTATCTGATCTTGATTCTGTTTGGTTCATGTGCACCGTACAAACCCTCAAGTTGTGTGTATTTATCATCTTGCTGTCTCATGCACATATCGTCCTCGTCATGTTCTAGACACTTACCATTGTTACCAATTCCACGCCGCATGTTCAAACTCGAACTAACGATTACTCGAAACATTTGCGATAGCAGACTACATTAAGTTCAGACTGGTCATCGTGGACTCAGGCAGTACATAACATGGGGTCGGATCTTCAAGAAGGAACGTGAATCAATAGCGGCACGTCAAATTTTTGTTCCAATCCTCAGATCCGACGCCCTCGGCAACGACGAAAAGCCTGTTCGGATCATACTTGTCCTTGATGGATTTAAGAGTCGAATAGTGCGAGCCGAAAAAGGTCTGCTGCCAGTCGATCTCAAACAAGGACGCCTGTTGAGCGACGTTAATAAGCATGCATGACCCAAAGTCGGACGCACGGGACGAACCTCGTTGAAGTAAGCACCATCGTTGGGTGTGAGATCGTACATGGCCTTGATCCATCCTTGAAGCTGGGAGATCATCCCTTGGATTTCTGTCGAGGACGCGCCATCGTCCCAAGTGACCCCACACACAGTTTCTACGACCGCATTCCGCCAGGCAGGATTCAACCCAGCAGAGTTGGCTCCAAACTGGCTGACCTTTCCACCTGCGACTGTACTGCATGGATAATTATTATTCCAAATTGTCACCGCAGAGGATGAGTGGAGAACGTACTTGAAACCCCCACCACAGTTTATAAGTATGTCGGCGACTTCTGCGTACTTGTTTGCAACGGTGTCCCGCGAGAGAAGCCGAGATGTGACCATTATGTTTGCACCATTCATGACGATACTACTGAGCACAGCCTGATACAACTCGTACCATGAAGAAGCATAAGAAATCTGTTCCGCAGAGACGACACCGAACGGTGCTAGGGAAGCTGTGAAGGTGTTCCAGGCCTGAGTGGTTGCCGTCGCGGTTTCGTTCGTCATATTGGGACTGAGATAGAGGAAATTCAATTGTTGGTCAGATATAGCGCCATATCCTCCCCAACCGTCATCTGTAAATTGGGTCTGGAAGCGCAGCAAGCCCCCGACGAGCTCCGGAAACACCGAGGAATTGGTGATGTTTGCCTGATATGTGTAGAGCTGGCATGGAACAGAGGGATAGGTGCGATATGTGACGGAGGTGACGATTCCGTACGTGGATCCACCACCTCCACGCAAACCCCAGAAGAGATCCAAGTTTTGATACTTGTTGACAGTCAAGAACTCCCCGGAGGAGAGAACGACGGAAATTTCTATGGCGTTGTCGACACCTTCAATTGCTCAATCGATTAAGTAATTTGGTGAACAAGATATCCAGAATCTTACCCAGGCCGTGAGTGGGCGACAGTGCAGAGTGACCTCCGCCTGCTAACCATCCACCAGCTGAACCGATGGAACCGATAGCGCCGCCGACCATCAAGCGCCCGTAGTTATTGACGGCGGCATATGCTTCATACCATTGCACGCCAGCACCAAGTGTCACGGCTAGTACCCAAAAACAAGCAATCAACAGAGTTTCAAAGCAGATTCCGAATAGCCTACCCTCGTATGTCTCGCCTGCCGGTGCTCCCCGAGGTATAAACGTGGAGCTGTACGTGATACTTTTCATATTATGCGTCCACACCACAAATGAACCCCGCGCCGCACTACGCCCAAGATAATCGTGGCTTCTCGCGCCATCAGACCATGCCTATCCCATATTGTTCAGATGGAGTGAGATGACGTACCCGGTGTTCTTGACAACCAACTTCAAGTTCTGCTGTACCGCAAAAGTAACAGCAGCTTGTATGTCCTCCACTGAGCGCGCGTCTACACCGATGACTGGCACGTTCCCTTGTTCACAGACGCCCGTGATGGTCGTGTTGAGATAACAGGCGTCGATAGTGCCGTTCTGGAACGTAAACGTCTCGAAGTTCGGTGCTTCCATGGCTCCGGGGATTGATGAGCGCCAGTTGCCGTCGTACCAGTTTGCGTGGACCGCAGTACAATTTCCTGATGGGTCGGAGGGCGGGTAGCATGCCAATGCGCTAGGAAGTGGGTAGACAAGCGGCTGGGAGACCTGAGACTGGAGTTGTGCGAAAGTGGAGGCGGAAGGCCAGCAGGATTGACCATAGGTACAAAGACACCCCGAACTACTAGCCCAGGCAGTCATGGGGCATCCTATTGCGAGAAGTGCAAGTGCAGAAAACACTTTCATTCCCGCTGTTCAAGAGAATCAGGCGGAAAGAATGTGATGATGGGGGAAGTTTGCGATGCGCTCCTCGGAGAAAGAACGGCAGATTATATGCAGTCACCGCCATGCGTGAGGATTTGGTAAACTTTCCTCGTCCACCGGTGTTCAATCGCTCCAGATCATCGGCCGTGCACACTGCACAGGAAGATGACGTTCAAAAGTCCCCGATTGATTGGAGTTACGCGATACTTGCTGCGGAAGTCTTATTCGGAAGGAAACGCCGCAGTACGCAAGCCAGTGGCAATACGCGTGCCAGTGGCCGTCCGTGGGCTTCACTCTACAAGGAATTTTACATCCATCTAACTTACCGATCTGAGTGCAGGTGGTATGCCCACTCAAGAGAACTGAGGACAAAGAGTCGCCGCGGCTGCAGTTCCCAATAGATCATCCAACATGTCATGAGAAGGGGACGAGGCTAATTTGCTTGGATGCCCATGGACGAGAGATCTTCTTTGTCCGTGAGCGCCCGCGAGACTCTTGGTGACGACATTAGCCATCCATTCGCAGTGCGCACAGCATCGGGCGCAGCACTGAGCATAGATGCTTTCTCCAAACTGCAAGCATGTGTGGATGTAGTTGGCTTGGATCAACCGACGTGACAGGAATCACAGGATGAACGTTTCAAGCAGCCGAGTCGAAGGCGAGAATTTCCCGCGTCCTCCACGGATAGGTTACGCGCAACGCGAATTTCAATGGCCGACTAGCTCAGTTGGTTAGAGCGTCGTGCTAATACTTAGTTTCAAGTCAGTTGTGTTTGGACCTTAGACCCAACTGGCTTGGGGCCAAGGAACGCGAAGGTCTTGGGTTCGATCCCCACGTTGGCCATTCCCTTTTTGCTCCTATGCATGTTTATTTTGATCCTTACCAAGGCCCGGGTGCGCAAACTACTTCAGTCAGTACTCCACTTCCTCTGAGTAATCCCATCGCTGTGTGGCCCGCAGGTAAAGCACCTTTCAAATGTCTACTCACTGGAACCTATGCAAGTGATGATTCACGACGCTACACCACACCGTGAAATGCCTGCGCAACCTCCCTCTAAATCGTACCTTCCCGCACGTACACGCCCCAATTGGCCAAGTGCGCCAAGTGCCACGCTGCCCCGTATAAACTACATCATCTCCCATATACATTCTGATGGTCACGGGGTGAAACACGGACAGCTTGAACAACCCGACAGAGGTTAGTTCATGATGTATGTTACAATATAACTGTCGAATTGATTAAACCGTTCGTGCAGCCTATCGCTAGCTATCTACCTTGGGGCTACGGAACAGCACCCTATTTCCTCTTCGTCGCGTGCAGTTATTCTGGGCAGGTAATCCGCGGTTACGGTAGAGCTCTTAGCTGTCTGCGAAACAGAGACACGACGGAGCAACCTCATACCTTGCTTATATGTCTTATTTCCCCGCGTGGCGTTGAAACTGAGGCCAGTACCCGGAAAACCGACGCCACGCAGATCAAGTCCTTCCTTCGTTTTACAATATGGTAAACGACTCCGAACTTACACGCCTGACGCATGGTCACTCTCTCGCCATGCAGCCCGACACAGGCCATCGTGGTTCGGCACGCGAAATGTTCCCGCAATCGAAGGAGAGCATTGTGATCTTTTTCTGTTGCGAGTCCGCTAAGATAAGTTACTTGAATTAATACAATTAGATCAAGGCTTCGGCCACGGGTCTCACAAGAGTATAGATCTGGTCTTCCACCCAGAAATGTCGTCATGCATGAAACTATCCATGCATATAGTCAAGTGGAGAACGTCAGAGAACATCGAGCACCAAAGAAACAGGTCATTCGATCCCAAACGCGACGGGTCAAGCTCTTATCGGGACTCACTATTCAGTCCATCAATGTGACGCTCTCATGGGGATGTTGCAAAGGTCTCAGTTACCTTGCTGGAAGCAAGGTGCTATGGTGTTAACAAATACTGTGTTCTGCTTGCCACGTACCACATCGAAAGCAAAGATGATCCACTCATATGGGATTCTTCTTCTGACCTCAGATCCACGTGGAGGTTTGGGTTTGGGGCTAGCGATGCGCATGTGGACCACACCGCGCGACGGCCGTTGCCAAGCTACGCTGGTGCTGGGGAGAGGACCGTGGGACAATGAAAAGGAAGGTTAACACGGCACGCGTATTCAGGCTGCGCCGCTGTGGTACAACTATTGAACCAAAGACTCGGAAGCAGTCGTCACAGCTGACACACTACTTATAGGCAGCGCCAGCAAGGATGGAACATGTTCCATCCGTACTTCTTTCCCCGAGGCGTACTGTGCCATGGATGAACTGAACGACGTCTACCTGAGTTCGGTGAACACCTCAGGAGGACACGGTAGTTTCCCCAAGCCCGACACTCCACGAAAACTACCCGCTGGCCACAGCGGGACATGCAGCACGAGATACATCTGTTCTAACTAATTCTGATGAAAAACTGTCACCAGATAGAGACGTGTTCGTCGTCGATTGGGACGGTCCAGACGACCCCAAGAATCCAAAAAAGTAAGTGTGATAGCATGCTTTCCCACTTATCGACTCCCATGGGTTTCTTTCAAGCTGGAGTTTCAAGCGAAAATGGGTTGCGACTGCCGTCGTTTCTGGGTTCACTTTCATCACTCGCGTGTCCTCTTCCATGGTCGCTCCCGCCGCCAATCAAGTGGCCGTCCAATTTAACATCCATAGCAGCGTTGTCGTTGCATTTACCACGTCAATATTTGTGTTTGCTTTTGGTAGATAAGTTTCATTCAACGTTTAGGACTCGTGCCTGATCTGACGTGGGTAGCTATTGGTCCTCTATTCCTCGGTCCTTTGAGCGAAATCTATGGACGGTCCCGAGTGCTTCAACTTGCAAACTTCTGTTATCTCGGTGTGTAGCTATGACGATCTACTATGCCCAGACTCACTGTCATCTAGCATGGAATTTAGCATGTGGCTTCGCACAAAACGAATCACAATTGCTTGCATTCCGCTTTCTATCCGGACTTGGAGGTAGTGCTCCTCTCGCGGTATGCCTTCCATTTTTGGATGGAACTTTATCCAAATAACCGACTGACTTCTAGATCAGTGGTGGTCTCCTCGGCGGTTGTTGGCGTGCAGGAGAGCGTGGGCAAGCCATCGCTGTGTATTCCGTAGCACCAATGCTTGGTCCTGTAGTTGGTCCCATCGCGGGGCTTGGTACGTTTCCGCCTATCCTCAATCACACAGCTATTTGATTATGTATGTAGGATTGCAGAGCGTTCGACGTGGAGATGGGTGGCATGTCTACTCCTTTCGAGACGTTACTCGGTCTGATAACCTGTTGCGTCTCTAGTTTTGGTCGGCGAGCATCGTAGATGCAGCAATCCAGATATTGGGCTTTTTCTATCTTCAAGAAAGTCAGTTCAGATAATATGTGGTTCTGTGATGTATTGCGTGTGACGCTTTCTTTAGCTTATGCGCCTTGACTCTTGGAGAGGAAGGCAAAGGGGATATGGCGATCGATGGACGTGGAGAAAGCCCCTCACAGAGAAGTACGAACAATATTTGATGGGAAAGAAGACCGCTCGTGAGTACGATAGTTCGGGTAATCGTACTCTCCCGATTGATGACTTCTAGCTGGCGAGCGATCATGATTAAATCACTGGTGCGGCCATTTGCGCTCTTCGCCCAAGAACCCATCATCCAATTACTTGTTTTGTACATGGCATACCTTCACGGAACGCTTTACCGTGAGTGGTTTAACGGCGCTCAATCTCTAGTATATCCTCATCCGTCATAGTCTTTTTGACGACTATGCCCTCCATCTTTGAGGGGGTTTACCAACAACCTGTTGGGATAGCTGGCTTACACTACATTGCTCTCGGGATTGGTCTGATGGGAGCCTCGCAGTTAGCCGCGAGAACATTAGACAAGATCTATGTGTATCTCAAAAATAAACATGGAGGTGTTGGGAAGCCCGAGTTTAGACTACGTTTGTATTTTTCACCTGTCTTTTCCGGGTTAGCAAACACTCATACATTTGGTAACAGCTGTCATGTTTGTCGGTACGTTGGTGCTTCCGATAGGATTGCTCATCACAGGGTGGACCGTTCAGGCGCACACGCATTGGATAGCGCCGGATATTGTGAGTGCTCACGGTCCTCAAGTCAGTGATTCGACTCAAAGTGGCGCAAATAGGGAATCGCGCTCATTGGTGCGGGTGTCATTTTTAACTATCAGTGTGTTCAGGTATATATCGTCGATGCCTTTACACTCTATGCTGCGTCCGGTGCGTCCTCACGCAATACATCAGTGTCCATTTGTGTGCTGATCTGTGTCGGTACAGCAATGGCGTCGATATGTTGTCTGCGTTCAATAGCCGGCTGCGTATTTCCTCTCTTGGCGCCTGCAATGTACTCTGCGCTAGGATTTGGCAAAGGGTACACAGTACTTGCCATGGTAGCCATCGTCATCGGTTGTCCTGCGTGAGCGTGGCTTTTTTTTATGAATGACGCCCTGATTGACCCTCCGGCGTTCAAGACCCTGGATTTTCTGGCATTTCGGAGAAAGAATCCGGAACGCAAGTCGTTATGCTGGATGATAAATGCACGGAATGTCCACCTTTGCAAATTTATCTGATTATAATTCTAGTGAACCCACATGCCAAAGTTTTTGGAGCTGTGACGAGCATATGCTACCACGAACGGCAGCCCGAACCGCCCTCGACCTGCAGCCGTACTCTTCGTGATTTTATACTGTGCAGATAGATACCGGTGAATTTTGAAACCGTGACGCTGTGTAATATTGTAAACGGGGGAAGAGTGGGCGCTGGCAGAGACTCAAGCGATGATACGCCATCCGCGCTGAATCGGCGAAGAAACCGTATCCGATGATGCATATGGTGATGATGATCTCATAGTGCTCAGCACTCGGACCGATAAAGCCGATATGTATGAATTGACTGGCGGCTAGTAACCTGAATCTGATGAGCCACCGACTCCTCACTCAGGCAAAACTCTGACGCTTTCAACTTGCTGGAGCAATAAACTATATTGCGTCGGCATGAATGAACTACCGGCGCAAGTATTGCGGGCCCTGGGATGGTTGATGACATGTCATCGCACACTGAGAGCTGTGCCGAGATGCCGCCTCACTCAATTACTGTCATGCCACCAACATTGCGGTCATCTACTCATTGTCATCACTATCGTCGGCCCCCTACTTATAGGCGCTTCCAGCGAGGTCGGAGCATGTTCAATTCGCCATACTTGTTTCCTCTAGACTTGCCATTCTATGGGTACGATGCACGACGGCCGCCTTGGCAGTTCTGCAAACACTTCAGAAGGACACGGTAACTCCCCAACTGCGACGCTCCATGGAAATCACCCACCGGATATATCATCCGTTGCACAAGAGGTTTCTACACCTGCCAGTCCAAACGACAAACAGGGCGGAGAAAATACCGGCGTCCTTGTGGTGGATTGGGACGGTCCAGACGACCCCACGAATCCAAAAAAGTAAGCGCGATAGCAGGCTTTCGCACTTCGTCGGATCTCAATGCCGTTCTTTTAAGCTGGAGTTTCAAGCGAAAGTGGGCCGCGACTGCCATCGTTTCGGGGTTCACTTTCATCTCGCCTGTGTCCTCTTCCATGGTCGCACCAGCCACCAATCAATTGGCTGCCCAATTTGGCATACATAGCAGTGTAGTCATTGCATTTACCACGTCGATCTTTGTGCTCGCCTATGGTGAGTCAAGTTTCGCTTAGCGTATTGAATTCGTTTCTGAGCTGAAATGGGTAGCTATTGGTCCTTTATTCCTCGGTCCTCTGAGCGAAGTCTATGGACGGTCCCGAGTGCTTCAACTTTCAAAC